AAGGTAACCAACAACACAACACCCAGGGTAACATTACGAAATAGCAATGACAAGGCCAATTATAGCAAACAGGTATTGCCAACAAACTCACCCTGGCATCTTTAAGACTTGTCTGTTGCTACCTGACTATTTCCTATTTCGGTCAATAAACAATTTGCCTAAATCCACACCATGCAAATCTCCACATGACAACTGCCATTGTCAACAAATTTTCATGTAAAGCTACAAACAAAATCAAAGTTTCGTATCTACAACTTTTTTGTACGTTTTTTTTATGAAGTTATTAAAAAATACTAATTAATTTAATTATCAATTTTATTAGATTTATGCATTATACTTGGATCTTAATCAGTTTTACTGGGAGATCCATACTTCAATTTTGTTCTTTTTCATCAATCCTTACAACTGCCTCCTTAGCTTAAACAAAGTTTTCTTTTTTTCTTTCTCCCACTCTTCAAATTTGATACTAAGACACCGTTTTCTGGAGATCCTTTATTTATTTGCTTAGTCTGATCTTAGTCGGTGTGTCTTTGTAGAAATTGCGAATCATGCTTAGCTTATTTAAGAACAACATTCAATCATCATCATCATCATGAGAAACAATAGGAGGAAGATGTGGCAGCCCATAAAGTAAGTGTGACCATTCAGTTACTGCATAACTGAGCACCCGACCAATTCCCGTCATATATCTAGGTTGAAAGCCATGAATAGCAGGGCCAAATAGATCTGGTGGAGCCTATCACTCTCCAGGTTATTTAATTCGGTGGGAAGGGGGTTCAGTCTATAAAGTCATCCACCCAGCAATGCCATGTCATCATCATATCTAGGAGGCCCAGTCTACTAAATTGTCCTAAATGGCCTTTTTGGCACAACAAGAATGTTCATCTGCCATTTGATAGGTGTTGTTTATAATTCTACTGGGTGTCTAGCCACTCTCCTTACTTTACACAAAAAGCCTGAAGTGGGAGAGGGTAGCGATTTGGTTGTTGGTGACCTGACTATACAGCAAATAGTACTGAATTACTGGTACCAGAAACACTTGTAGAATGACCTAACACCGAAAGAGTAACATTAGTATTTTCTATGATATTGTAAGCAGTGTTCATCAGTTTTAGTCACATTTTTTGACATTTTTGCAAATAGCTGTTTAATTCTAAACAAAAGAATTAGGTTGAGTCAAAAATTCTTTTCGGATTTTCATTGATGATTTTCAGCAACATATATCTTGTGGGAAAATGAAATAAATAAAATAATAATAAAAAATTAAAATTAAAAAAAAAATTCCCATGATGTTAGTAATAAAGGAGGCAGAAAGGGTTTTAAGTCATCTGTGCAATTTTGTGACACGACTTCCGAAAAGGACAGAACCGCGTTCTCTTTCCACTTTCCAAAGTATATCGTTCGGGCATGTTTTGCAAAACCTCCACCAATGAAGGAAGTACAATTTTTACTTTGATCGTTCCAACTCCACGCAAAGCTGACTTGAGCTTGACCATTATAACCACTCTTATCCTTACTTAACCTAATTTAATTCTGGACCATAAAAAGAAAATGGACATACCCATGAGACATTGTCGGAGTTAACTCCTCCTTTAGTTCGTTAACCCTTTCACCAGGGGTCTCTCTTCCCTGGCTATAAATAGTCGCTGACCCTTAGCCTCTTCCTCTCTTTTTTCCTCAGGCCTTTGGGCCGACACCTGGAGGTAAATCTCTTTTTTTCCTCAGGCTTTCAGCCTTATTACCTCGAAGATGTGAACGCTCACAGAGATAGCGTTTCCCAAATGCTGGGAACACGCTAAGCACAATACACACACACACACACACACACACACACACACACACACACACACGCACGCACATATATAATATTCACACACACGCCTTGTCCTTTGTAACTGTTTCCATGTAACTTGTTATTAATATATATATTTGTATACATATATTATCGGTCTTGTGTTTGTTTTTCTTTGCCTTCTTCTTTGGACTTAATTAAAGTCCAACTTTCTCGTAGTTGGGCCAGCTAGCAGGAAAATCTGAACCCACATGTGTTTCTTCTACGTCTACTCAACAACATCACAGCCACGGTCCACTACAACATTGAAAACTTGAAACAAAAAAAGAATATAAAACTCTCTGAAGCAGAGACCCAAGTTCTTGTATGCTTTTTCTTTAATTGTTTATATATGAACACAGACACACCTACAATACACTAATAAACAACTTTAAATCCTGTAATCTCCATATTATATCATTAACTTAATACAAATTGTCCAATCGTTACTGAATTGTTTATTCTTTATTTTTATACATAACATATAAACATTAATTGCGTATTCTTTATTTTACAACTTTGATAATGAATGCAGAAAAAAAATCAATTTGAGCCATTTTATGCTACCTGTGGAAAAAAAGACTGAGTGAAAGGGTAATGGCTAAAGAAATGAATGGTGTGGAAGGCCCAGGAACTGTCAACGAACGTGTGGCAAAAAAAAACAAAAAAAACATTGGTTCAGACATTTCAAGGTAACACCAACCTCGAAGACAAACCAAGGTAAAGGAGCCCTTATGTTGTGAAAGATGAGGCCTTGTTTGAAATGGTTGAACAACAGCCAAGCACTCATACATTGTTGGTAGAATTTGGGCCTTCACAAAGTACTTTCAGTCGACAACTTCATAAGCTTGACCTTGTGAACAGATGCCGTCGAGAAGTTCCTCATGAACTGACCAATGATCAGACTCATCAACGTGTGGACAATTGAAAACAACTGCTGACAAACCCTCAAGATGCCTGTTTTTGGCGTCGAATTGTAACGGGGATGAAAAAATGGCTCCTATTTTTGTAATCCCAATAATAGGATGTCAGTCACTTCCTTCGCCAGGTTTCAGTATTTGCTGTCAAACAAGGGCGATTTGAACAGAAGGTCATGTTGTATGTTTGGTGAAATTTCAAGGGGGGGGGGGGCTTTGAGCTTGTCCTCCTTTATGCTCAACAACTGCAGTGAATATATGAAGCGTTGAAAGCCCGCTATCTGACATTGGTCAAATGAAGACACACACTCCTACAGCATGGCAATGCTCCAACACACACTGCTAATGTGACCAAGTGCAAACTTGTGGCATTGGAGGTGCTCCCTCAACCTTGCCAACAATCAATTTGCACTATCAATTTACCACCTTTTCCGGACGATGACTCATTTCCTGCGCGGACGGAGAACCAACAATGTTGATGAGCTTGAAAACGTGCGTAGGGAGTTTTGTTTTTTTTACCTCTAAACCAGCCAAATTTTACAAGCATAGAATGATGGAAACAGAAAATAGAATATGATAGGATATATTTTGATGAATAAATGCTTTTCGTATGTAATTTGTTTGAACTATTAAGTAAAGCTTGAAATACGAACAAAATCTTTTGACTCGATCTAGCAATTTACACAACATATTTGAAATGTTAAAGAGAAACACACATTTTATCTTGCTGTTAAAAATATTGCGCCAAGTTTAGCAGCTTTCTACTTTGTCTGTGTATGGACGATAAACCACCTGCGACTCGGAACACATCGCTTTTCCACTTCCTTTCATCAAGGAGGTAAGCCATGTTACGAGAGACATAGAATCCGAAAGAGACAACTGAAGATTCTAAGAAACATAATAAGGAAAGAAGGCTTGAAAAATTTGATACTCACAAGACATACTGAAGACAAGAGAAGCAGAGGAAAATTGTGAATAACCTACCTAATGAGAATGTGTAAAAATGTATAGTAAAAAGACAAACGTTGCTAAAAGAAGAGGTACGAAGGATAGGAAAGTAAAAACTAAAAAAAAAAAAAAAAGGAAAAAAAAGGGTCACGGCCCAGAGAAGATCTAGCCTTCAAGGAAATGTTGTGATTGTTGCTGGGGACCAAGTGACAGCAAGTATCTTGAAATCGCGAGTATTATTCTCAATAATAATAATAATGTCCGCGTAGGTTGGACTCATTAGCCTTGGTAGGCAACCAACCAAGGAGAAAGGAAATTCTGAATCAAAACCAAGAGTAGTTGAGGAATCTGAATCTTGGATAGCAACAGGCCTAGTGACCATGTCATCACGATATAAAAAAAAATTGCACTAAGTAAGGATACCTTACAGACACAGAACAAAAAACCTCGAATAAGCCAAAGTGATATCAAATCAAAACATTGAAGGTGAAGACGTAAAACAGGACTGGAAGCCTTAGTGGAGAAGGTGTTGTGCCCGACAGGCTTGGCATAGTCTGGCTTCAGCAGGTTGTTATCCACAACACTAACAGGCTTTACTCAAACAAAAGCGTGGTGGTGGTGGTGATGATGATCCTCCTCCTCCTCCTCCTCCTCCTCCTCCTCCTAATCTGTTATGGTTCTGGTGATTTTTGCTAAGGACCAAGTACCCTCAAATCTTGAGCATTTTTTAATATTCTTACTAGTAGTGTCTGTACTGTTGTGGCCTAAAAATTGTCATAATTCTTCATCAAATAATTTTTTTTTATATCATCGCAAAGGAGCTATTCTCATTCCTCCATTAATTACTGGTACTACCTTCACTTTCTTATTCCATACTTTTTTTTCTCGGTTCTCTAATAAAGTCCTATGTGTGTTATCGAGTTATCATTTTCATTCTTCTTGCAGAAGGCAGAAATTTGTACTGTAGTATCAGTTATTATTTGGAGAAGGTCTGGTAACACCTTTTTTGTGTTTGAATCTCAAATGAAAAAGTTAAATAATCTCTTCTTAAGCATCGACAGATTATGGTTTGAATAATCATTTCAGGATTTATTTAGTTGGTTTTCGAGACCAAGTGACAACAAGTTATCCCAAAATATATTTCGGCGACTGTAATAATCGATAATAAGGAAAAAAAATCATTTGCAATAATTTAGTAGTCGTAAGTAATATTTTAAAATCAAAATTCGGAATAATTAATATTTATTCAGATTTTGTTCTCGTATTTAGTGGCAAAAATCCAAAGAAACACATTTATTTACAACATGGACGAACTGTTGAACCGAAAATCCATTGCTGTTCAAATCGTTAAAGACAAAGAAGTTGAAACGGAAGACGAAATAAAACAACGTCAAACGTTAAGAAAAGAAATTGCAAATATTAAATACCGTATCCTTTTAAGAAAATATATTTGCAAATTATTATTTATTTGTCAAAGAAATTTTACATTTCTTGTTGACAACGTGGTGGTTACTAATGACGCTAAACAAAGTAAAGAAAGACTCTAAAGATCAAGAAGATCAAAATTCAGACATTTGTATTTTTATAAATGTAAAAACTTTCTTGAAGCTTTCATTTTAGCTTTAATTGAAAGCTAAAGGATTATTATTTACTATTTCTAGTAAGCAAAAAAAAAACAAAAAAACTGAGTGGTATATTTCAAATAGAAATTTTATTATTTTCTTAGTTTTTCATTTTTTTCTTGTTTCTATAGTTTTTTGAGTTGTTTAAATCATGAAGGTATGCGCATACGCTCACAGACAGACGCACACACATGCACGTGTGGTACCCTTTCAGGACGTGAGCGATCATAGCTCTTCACAACTTCCTATTCTGTCATCATTTACTCAAGCTCATTAGGTAGGTTACTCATTTCCCCTGCCCCTCTTGCTTCCATTATGTCCTGTGAGTGTCATATTCTCCAAACAACCTTCCCTCATGATGTTTCTCAGAAATTTCAACTGTCTCTTTCTGATTTTATGGATAAGTGTCCCCCCCATTTTCCTTAAAAGTTCCTTGTCGCTCACATGTTGTATTCATGGTATTCTCAACTCCTTCTGTAAAACCACATTTTTTTTAATCATTTCACCCCAAGTAGGGCAATAAAGCCACTAAGATGCAAAGGGTTATTGAGTGTGAAAGAATATGAGAAAAAGAAAAGCATTATTAATGAGAAAAAAAGAACTTTGTTAAGGAGAGAAAAAAATAAGAGAAAAGGAATTAAGAAGATTGAAGATAACGATTGACATAGCATTTGAATTTTTGAAGATTGAAGTTGACTGGAAAGCAAGAAGACAGAAGAGAGTTCCACAAGCGAGAAGTGCAAGAGAAGAAACTGTTAGCATAGAACTTACAGTTAAATCTAACCATTTCAACTGTAAAATGATGACACCTGCACTTAAATTCATAAAGTTGAATCTGTAGTCTCAAGTCCCCACTTTATCTGTGTTTGAATGTGGTTACACACACACACACACACACACACACACACACACACACACACACACACACTTTAAAAATCAGAAGGTCAGTTGAATCTGCTTACCTTGGTTTCAACCTTACGGTATCCTCAGGTGATTTTTGTCAAATGACCACCTAATACTTTTTTTTATTTTTAAAGAAAAAAACTAAAGCACGCTACATTATTATTTCCAAAAATAAACAAACACATGACGTTGCGTGTAATGGAAAGGGAGGAGGGGGATGTGAAGAAGGAAGAAAAAGAAGAAGGGGAAGAGAAGAAAAGCAAGTGTATTGTATATGCATTGGTGTGTATGTGTGGGGGGGAATAACATTTTTTATCCAGCCTCATATGCTTACATATCAGAAAATTTTTCTTAAGTGCATATGAGGCTAGATAAAAAAAATGTAATTTAACTTCCCCCCACCAATGCATTTACAATACCCTTGCTTTTCTTCTCTTCCCTCCCTTCTTCCTTCTTCACATCCTCCTCTTCCCTTTCCATTACACCCAATGTTAGGCGTTTGTTTATTTATTTTTGGAAATAATAATGTAGCATTTTTTAGTTTTTTAAAAAATAAAACAAAGCATTAGGTATGTGGTCATTTGATAAAAAAAAAAAAAAAAAATTGCCTGAGGATACTGCAAGGTTGAAACCAAGGTAGTGGATTCAACTGACCTCCTGATTTTTAAATTTAAAAGCTCTGCATGTTATTTTTACTCTTGTTTTTTTTACATATGTATTGAGCACTTTTTAATACTACTGTTTTCTGGTCTGATTCAACTCTGACTATTAACTTTTTATGTATTATATATGTATGTATATGTGTGTGTGTATATATATATATATATGTGTGTGTGTGTGTGTGTATATGTGGGAGAAGAGTAGGTAGACACAATTATGATCTGAAATTATCACTGTATAATGTTCAATCTTTGTGATAACTGGAAGAGTGCTAGTTTAAGTGCACTGACTGAGATTACGTTCAAAAAAATGTATTGTGTAAAATGAATGTTTATTTGGTTCTTCTCCGTGCCTGTTTTTTGTTCCTCAACCACGCAGCACTTATCATTGGGAATTTAGACAAACTGAATTCTCAAATGTGCCAGATGGAAAGAAACATGTGGAGTCCCTGCCCTTTGGTGTATGATGAAAACAACATTGAAAATCAACTGAATGGCAGGATTACTGGTGCAATATGCCACACCCAGAAAATAAGTAAGCATTTAGAAAAATATATAACATAAATAATAATAATAATTAACAACAACAATAGGGATTGTAAAAATTAAAAAGCATTTTTGTCTTTTAGGATAAAGAATTATTATTATTATATGCTTTGTTCTTTAGACTAAAATGTTCATCTTCTTCAGATGTCTATTATCATACTCAGCAACCTTCTTTGAATGAAACCATTTATTCAATTCACAGGTGTGGATTGTTCTCATGCTTAGGGGAGATAATTCCTATCATTTAGGGGAGATAACTCACATTAGTTAACACTCACAAATCTTATTCACCTTTGTGTTGCTTGTCTGTCTGTTCTACCAAACCAGAGATACATAACCTAATGGATTAAAGCAAAGATTAAAACATAGTCTCTAAGCAACTGTGAGTTCAATCTCAGGGTCTGGTAGTGCTAAACAGTCACACACTCCGTTTCAGTGACAGAAATGAACAAGCAATGCAAGGGTAATAAAACTAGTGTTAACAGATATGAATTGTTTCTCTTAAGCGGGGTAAGCAGAATCAGAACAATCTACCCCACTAACAGCAATTGAAAAAATGATTCTACTTAAAATTCCAATATATTTCTTCTTCTTATAAACATTATGTTTCATGGTTGAGTAAATGTCCTTAATTTCTGGCCAGTAGACATTAATTTCACTGTTTTAAAAAAATAAAACAAGGATGTCTACTCAAAGGTGTACCTACTAAATATAACATTTATAATAATTATATATATATATATATATATATATACATATATATTTCTTTAAAATATATATATATATATATATATATATATATATCGAAACTTTTCTCATACAGTCTCAGTTACAGTGAACTGGTCATGTCTTGAGAATGTCTGATGACAGCATACCCAAGATCCTAATGTACAGCCTGTTAGATCAGGGCTACAGGAATGTAGGATGCCCATGGCTAAGGTACAAAGACAAGCTGAAAAGCAACATGTCAGCAGTCAATATACCACATAACACCCTTGAGCGCTTAGCTTTGGAGCAGGTAGAATGGAGATCAACATGTTTTAGTGGACTCAGCAGTTTTCAAACTGCTTGTTTGAATCATCTTCAAGAAGCAAGAGCAAGATTTAAAAGTTCATCCAATCTCACAGTGATCTCCCACAATCCTCACTCTTGCACCATATGTGACTTCATTTGTAAATCTCTAGCAGGTCTTAAGTGCCACTTAAGATTATCACACAAAATTTCATAACTGAATCAAATAAGGTGTCAGATCCTCATATGTTGAAACTGATGGAGGAGAATCCATTATATATATGTGTGTGTGTTCTTTGACTGACCTTTCAACCACCTCATGAATATTCATGAACATCCTCAAATTTATAAGCCTTGATAAACCAATGATATCCTTGCCTTTGTATATAAACACATACAACAAAATAAATGCTACATTGCCTTGATAAATTCATTCAGAAGAGAAAACATGTCAACTAAGAATAGTTTTTCCTTTTGTATCTTTTTTATTCATTTTGTTTCTTCTACAGATAAATTCTGAGAATATTTACAGTTATATATATATATATATATATATATATATATATATATATATATATATATATATATATCACTTGAAATGTTATTTTTAGTGGATACTTGTATTTGAGTATGCACTCTATTTATTAAATAGTATATTTATTTATTTTTGTCTACTGTCCTGAATATTCAAGAAATCATATTAAAGAAAAATTTGCACCCTTCACCAGGAATTGTTGAATCCCTCAGGGCAGAGGGAGCCACTGTTTAGCCCAGTGCACCTTACCACTTGGCCATGAAGTAACAGTCATGTGAAGTCAATTTCATGCTTTTCAAGTAAAATGTTTCCTGTTATAGGATCTTTGAAAGATTTTTCATATCTGCACATAGTTTCATAACCAAATGTAAGCAAAGAAATTTTTTAAAATGGATTTTTATTAATCTGACAGATTTTTATCACTTTAAACGTTATTTCACTTGAGATGCATGAAATTGACTTTGCATGACTGTCTGTTCCTTCATGGCCAAGCAGTAAGGTTTACTGTGCTAGATGATGGCTTCTTCTGCCCTGAGGGATGTAGCTTTGATTCCTGCCAAAATGCACAAATTTTTCTTTTAATAACATTTCTCAAATAATCAGATTGGTAGGTGAAAATAAATATACTGTTTAAATGAATAAATGGAGTGCTTACTCAAATATAAGTATCCATTAAAAATAACATTTAAAGTAATACAAATCTGTTGGGGATATATGACTATATTTTCATGTCATAACTATTGTTTGATATTCGAAGAAAATAAATTAAATTTTAATATAAACATTTAAATAAGCAGTTAATTAGATAATTGGTAAGTTTTTAAAGTTTTGTTTTCTAGGATAGTTACAAAACCTTTTCTGTGAGTAAATCTTTATGTACACTGATTGCTCATGGTGCCAAAATGCACTGCAAAGTATTACCAATGCAGGTGTAATGTATTGCATGTATGTGTTTTCAAGAGCTCACTAATTTCACCTGTTGCTTTGTCTGGAAGCAGTCGTCTAGTGGTTTAATGCTGCGTACCTGCTAGGATGTGATTATCAAAGAATTTCTCTGGCCATTCTAATGGGCTGTGCTTTTATTGATCTGTAGACTTTCTCGAAAGGCAGAAAAATTACAGTAAAAATAAACACTGTTCTAAAAACTATCAACAGTTTAATATTAGGTTGGTGCAAAAATAATGTCGTTTTTTTTATTTGAAGTTGAACATCAAAAAAAGGCATTATTTTTGCACCAACATAATAACACAGGCTATCAGTGATTACAAACACTCTGGTTGATTTCTACTAAGATTCTTGAGGCACTGAGTAGGTTAACTGCAGGATTAGACACTTCTATGTGTTAGAGGCTCTTTCAATATGCAGAGAGAAAGAGCTCTCTCATAGCAAAAAATCCTGTGGTGTGAATTAAGTGACTATGGGCTCTGATTTATATAGACATTTGTCTGGAGCAATGACATTGATGAATGTTATTTTCCCACAATGGCCTTCTTGTTAGAGAACGACATGGCCATATCTAAAAGTACCTTTGACCAGATATGGCCCTTCCAAAGTACCTTTGAACAGATAGGACCCTTCCAAAGTACCTTCGACCAGATAGGACCCTTCCAAAGTACCTTTGAACAGATATGGTCCTTCCAAACTACCTTTGACCAGATTCTGGGCTTAGACATTTTGATAAGAATCATAGATTAGATGGTAGATTAAAATAAATAAATATTTCCCAGTCATAGCAGAATTTCAGTAAACATTACTCTTGTCCCTATTTAGAGTGATTAGCCATGATTAAATGTAAAATAAGTAACAGAACTGTCTGTCAAACTAAACTGACAAAATTTGCAATAAGCAATAACAAGAAAAAGAAAAGAACAGGGCAAAAAGAAATAATATAAAACTAGCAAACAATATATGTAAGGCAAATTAACAGTGAAAAGGCAAAGCAAAAGTAATATAGCAAAAAGTTCACAAACTAAGAATTGGGGTTGACACACAAGAGCAAACTCAGACAAGCGAATGTAGTGGTCAGACTTCAAGACAAGCCAGACCAGGACTGAGTCATATGAAACTGAGAACCAGCCTATTTTATTGTCTAGGAAGAAATCCCAGCATGCATTTGTGTGCTTCTGCCTATAAATTGAGGAGGAGAAAGTGTATTCCCCATGGTATTTTTGAAGGGGAATGTTAGGGATACGTTCTCTAGCTTTACCATCACTCCTCACATTTAGGAGGCTGAGCATTGTTGTAAGCCTCGTAATCAATCGAGATTCCTCTGAGAGTGTCAGGCACCCTTGCAGATTATTCTACAGTCCAGTGACCTTTCTTGGCTTTGTAGGTTATTGTATTGTGAACTAGTGGAGGGGGTCATGACAAATCTTCTATGTGGCCGGCTCAGCTTGTTGGCATTAGAGTTGTACTCTTTTTGGTCTTGGGCACCAGCAGTGGATTATCTCAGCAACCCTAAATTTACTTGAATTCATTCTTGGTTTCAGGAATCCTTTGTATATCTTTTCTAATTAGATGTTTGCTTTGTTTCTAAATTTATTTGTAGATGATACAAGTTCTTCAATTTACAGCTGGCTTGCAAAATCGGCTGAAGTAAGTCATTTTTCTCAGTATATTTTTTCATCTGACTAATTTTCAGATTTGTGCATAGATGCGCGGGTGGTGTAATGATTAGCATTTCAGAATGAGAAACTGGAGATCCGAGTGTGAATGAGGGTTAAAAAATACTAGGACTGACTAGGCACTTTCAGCTTTGGTTGGCAACCAGTCTAGAAAAAGGAAAGCTCTGAATTCCCAAACCTGGATAGATGGAACTCATTAGTATGGGATCATGTGGTTGTCTAAGGAAAGGAAATACCCTAAGAGGAAACCAACTCTTCCTCAGGAAACGGATGTTAGGTATGGTACCAATCACTCCACTCAGTAAAACAATTCGATTACAGAAACCTCATCAAGACACCTTATACAACATAAGGCAACAGGCAGATAAGTGAGTGTGTGTGTGTGTATATATATATATATATATATATATATATATATATATATATATATATATATATATATATATAGGCTTTCTTGTCGCAGACAACAAATAAAGGCTCAGTAAAATAAAGAGGTGCTCAACTTCTAAGGACACACATGTGTCTCCTGAAGCCTGCAGATGTTTTACAGATTTCTAGACAGATGGAACATGTGGTTGAACTATTTTGCTTGAATGGTTGAGGATCAATTGCCACATGTTTACTGCATGCGACAAAGTCACGGTGGCAGGCAAAAGGCTATCATTGAGAGAAGCAGCATGCTGCCAACTTGCTTTAATATTGGCACGCAGTTGATCCCGATGTTCAAGTCGGTGTCACTCAAACCTTTGTATAAATGAGAAGCAAGACAGGCGCCCAGCTCCTTTCCTCTGATGCTTTGTTTTCTCAGGAAGAAAAGAGGATGCTGCATAGCTTCAGATTGTCTTTGATTTTGTCTTTGAAATGCAAGAGTCGCCTGCTTGTTAGAAGCTAGCCAAAGAGGAGTTATTTTGGAAGTCTACTGTTGCTCGTACAAGAAAGATGTCCTGCCCACCTGAGGGGGATTTTCATTAGGATGGCTTCAATACCTGTTGTGTTGCATTTAGTCAGGACTTCACTGTTTCTAATACAATCATCCAGTTTTCTGTTGCAAATCATACATAGGCAACACACGTAGAAAGAATCAAGTTGATTGATGTGTCATTGGTAAAGAGTCCAATATTCTTCACCATAGCGTTGAGATGTTCAAACGACTGATGTGTACACATCAATTTTTACCTTTAATGAAACATCATAAGTATTTCAAAGTTTGTGGTAATGATTACTGAAGGCAGAACTAGCCTTTCCAATGTATTTATTTATGCATCATAGCATTGTTGGATACAATGGAGCCAAGATCGGAGAAAGAGGAAATGGTTTTCAAAACTTTTCTCTCAATATAAACAGTAGGAGCAAAAGCTGTGGGATGGTTACAGATTGGCTGATAGACAAGTTTTGGTTTATGTTGTTGGTCAGGCTAAAAGCTTTGCACAAAAGAATTTGTTAATGATTCATTGCATATCCTCAAGGGTGTGGGGTACAAGTGTGTAGTTTTGTGCAAAGAGCAGGTCACAAACAGAAAATATATGTGATCTTCAATCACTCAAGTGAAATGGGTCTCACACGTGTCCTATGTGTCAAAAATGGGTTTTCAAAACACCTGCAGACTTCAAGAGATGTATGCATGCATATAGAGGTTGAATGTCCCTTTATTTTACTGAGACCTCATTTGTTGTCTGTGCCAAGAGAGTTCACCATATATATATATATATATATATAGAAAGAGAGAGAGAAATAGATAGATGATGTACACCACAGCCTTCTTCTTCTGTTTGTTATGCTTTAGAATGTTGACAAATTCTTCTTTGGAGAGGTGATTGCGCATCTTCTACCAGATGTCATGTTTGGCTTGTGCATACCAGGAGTTGTCTTTCTCTGATTTCATGATTATAAATTGAGCTTCATATAATTTTCAACATCCACAGAGTCCCAAGTTTATTGCCTACCACTTCTTGATTACTCATGTTGATATTCGATTTTCTTGTTAATTTTAATTCCTCAAAAGCAAAACTGCTCTCATTTAATCATCCAAGATATTTTCTATGTTATATCAGCATGTTTTTTTTTTTTATATACAAAGTGACTTAATAATAATTCATAATAAACTTGACATTAAGTTTTCATGTGATTTAGTGAACCAATATATGGCATCAATATAATAAAGGACTTCCCAAAGGAGACAGAACATTTTTACAACCATGACAATATAGAAACTTAATCTAAGAGGTAGGGTTTTATGATTGCACCCAAGATGTGCAACTTTCTAACTTGTGTTATGGGTTAATCCCTTTTAAATTTTCAATCATTTGCTCGAAGTTTTTATTTAAAGAATGTTTAGTTTTTTTAGCCATTCAAATAATGCTTATTCTGCTTCCTACAGACTGTGCATCAACCTGAAATATTATTCTTATTTTAATTTTACTTCCAAGCTGGTTCAAGGCAGGTTGGAAGAGAGCATTTGAAGATTTTCCCACTGTATATTGCCAATTCTTTCTGTGGTAGACTGGTTTCCAACCAAAGCTATAGAAGCCAGTCTTCTGCCTTGCTATTCAACCAATAGGTGGAAGAGAAGAGATGGATTCATACCTTTCCTAAGGGTAGTTGCACATAAGTGAATGTAATGAACTCGACTAGAATTTGAACTCAGCTCTCTGACTCCTCAATCCGAGTGGATATCCATTACACCTCAATGTACATCTATTTTAGTCATGGTCATGCATTAACTGGCATTTTATGTTCTCTTGATGTTATAGTGGAACACACCTATTCTATTGTTAATAGACTCTCCCACCTATAATAAGTAGGATTAGTAAGAATAACAAGTCAGTCGCTGAGTGAGTTGGTCAGTCAGTCGATGTCGAACGACCGTTAGTTGGATATTAAAGTATCAGCGACCACAACTAGATTACTGTGTCATTACTTATTATATGAAGTTCCTAATGTTTTGTACGTTGAACCTATTTTAGGACTGTTGTGATGAAATAACCTGACTTCCCCATTCACCATAAATGGACGTTCCGGTGGCCGATAAAGTTCGACCACAGAAAACAGTCCAGGAGGATCGACAACAGAGAGCGACAACAAAGGTCTTCGTTGACTACACCATTGCGGTTAGCTTACTCCTACTCTGTCTCTGTATTTTGACATTCCTACATTCCGATATAAAGTATTATTATTTAACCACCACTCGGGTTTACTTTGTTATTATATCTTTTTGCGAGATATAACGACTGGCGACGAGATATAACAAGGACCGACTTAGTACAAATACAAGCCTCCGCTGTGAAACCACTACATAACAACTTGGCGACGAAGGATTCGAACTCATACGGAGGAAGAAAAACCTTTCATGCTACATAACACTTGACAAGGTGCCTTGACAAACTGCTGAATGGTTCTTTTTGTACCATTTAGAATAATGTTTATATTGAATAATATTCATTTTTGTTAAGTTTTTCAATCTGTTTTCTCACCAGTTCTATATTTGGATCTGAAATTGAGATGCCAGAGTTGTAGCATTGGGCATTGGATCAGCAGCTGGTTGGGCTTTAAATGCAGCTTCCTGGATGATCACTGTGGCTGGATGCAGAAAAAGTTGTCTCATTGAAAATAACCCTGTTGTCAAAAAAACAGTTGAAAAAAATGATTCCAATTTATTCATGTACATCATTCAGCAGCAAGACAGGATGGCTGCTGCTTTATTTTGGAAATGCAGAAAGTGAAACAGTCCCGAATAGGGTTCTCCTTTGTAGTGTTCTCTGTTAGTGGGGATTGACCAACAGGCAAAACAATCCATCTTTTATGGAGTTTGAATTCAGCCTGCACTTCTCTTAATTATTTGAGTTGTGACTGACCAGAGAAAAGACAGAAATAAGAATGTTGTCCCCAAATGTGCTTTGATGTCATGCAAAATTAAAAGGTCATCTTTCAAGCTTTCAGTTTGTTTAATGAGCATCATCGTCTATCACTAAATCAGAAATTGTGATTTATTTAGACTCAATTACACAAACAGAATATTGATACTTTTTTTTTTTAATCATTTCACTCCAAGCTAGGTAGGAATATCACAAGTATGCAAGTGGGGGGGGGTGTGCAGAGAGTGAAAGTGAGAGAAAAGACTGGGTATAAGAGGAATTGAAGAAAGGATAAAAGATGAACATGTTATATTAAGAATTTGGTAGCAAGAAAAAGAAATAACGAATATCAGATTGAAACAACATTTATTGTTGGTAGAGAATACAGGAATGGCAAACTGATGTAAGCATAGTGTTAAGAGTTGAACCATTTCTTGTGCTGATATGGCTGATGTCACAGGATACGTTCAGTGCACATTTGGTTGATTGAGGTCATGGTGGTAGGTCGTTTGGTCAGTTGGTAGACCTGTTGTATTGAACTTGGGTGATGTCGGATTGGAGTGGTCTTGGTAGCTCTGTTCCATGGAATGGAGGTCACAGTGTCAACTGTGAAGGGAATGCCTTGTAAATGAGTTGAGGTAGGCCAAGGTGACGGTAGGGGTTGGTAGGCCTGTTCTGTGGAAGAAAGGTCACTGGTGTCGAGTGTGAAGGGAATGCCTTGCAAACAAGTCAAGGTAGGCCAAGGTAATGACAGGGGTTGATAGGCTTACTCTATGGAACAGAGATCACTGATGTTGACTGTGAAGAGAATGCCTTATCGAAGTAGGCTGAGGAGATGGGTGGGTGTTGTTATCAATGAAGGCTTGTAGCTAGGAGGAATCGAGGTAAACATTTCAAGTTGAAGCTGGATAGCTCCGCTGAGTGGTGTCGAGGTTGAAATGTTTCAAGTCGAAGCTGAATGGTTGGTTAAGCCAGAAAGTAGTAACAGTTGTTAAGAAGTGCAATCATGTTGAGTGTTGGCGATGAAGTCGAGGACAGTGGTGACAGAAGTGCCCTGTATGATGGCTGAGCTGCAACTCTGTTGTCATGATGATGATGATGAGGTTATGGTAGCAGTAGCAGCAGTATCCTGTGTGATGGCCAGTGGCCGTGCTGCGCTGCAACTCTGTCCTGGCTGTTTTCAGAGGCCTGCTTTTAAGTGGGTCTAGTAGTTCCTCAGTGGTATCTCTCCCTCCAGTGGGAACTATTGCGATTGGTCACCGCCAGAGCACACTTTGTAGACTGAATGTAATGTGTAGAGCCTAACGTGCAGAAAATGACATTTGTTATTTTGCTTTCATGGCGTTCACATCTGGCCAGCATGCACAATGAATCAGAATGAAGTCTAATTGTGACAGAGTATAACAAAAGGAATTCAAGAAGATAGAAAAAGGCAATTGAAGTTACAGTTAAATTTTTCAAGATTGTAGTTTTTGGGGAAGCAAGTAAATGGAAGGAAATGCAAGAAAAGAAACTGTTGGAGTAGAAGTGGTGGTTACATTTAACTATTTTAACAGTAAAAGGGTGGGACCTAAATGCCAATCTAGTAGGCACGCTTAAATTCACAAAGCCAAGACACCAAAGAGAAAAAGCTTGTCAGAGCAGTTGTCATGAAAATATTTGTAGAAAAAACAGTGGGAAGCCATATCACATCATTGAGAAAGTGACTGAAGTTGAGATGTCAAGTCAGGATGAATTACACTGCAGATCCCTTTTTGGATCTTGTCAAGAACCTCATGATGAATGTTGATATTAATGTAAAATAATTGACTTTCAAAAAACAATCTTAGATGGAGATTGTCGGGATTTGTAGTTTTATGTCCATTAGTAACATTAGTATTAGTAGTAACATTAATATTACTAATACTATTAGTGGACATAAAAAACTATAAAAATATGGCCAGAAGCATTTTGGGAAAATAAGGAATAAGTTTAAGGGTTGGATTTGGTTTTCTGATACTTGTAAAAGTGTCAGTGATTATATAAATCAAGAGGTTGCCGTACATGAAGGGATGTGAGTTAAAGTCTTGCTCACAACATAATATTTTATTTATTCCTCATTCCTCATCAATGTAGATGGACAGTCAGAGTAAAAGTTGTAATGAAGAAAAATAACTAAGACGTAAGAAATAGTCATGAGACGGCATTTGGATGAAATCAGTTTTTATCATTGGGAAAAAAGTTGTTTACTTCTTGAAGAAATTTTATTTTTATGATTTGATTTTTTTTATTTTCACAGCCAAATTCCCTGAAAAGAAACGATGGTCCCAAGTTTATTGAGGTAAACAGATTTTAATTATTTTATATTTCTTTACTTTTTTTGAAAAAATATTAATCAGGTATGAAACTGAAGAGAACACTGTATAAGACGCTTACAAAACTTCAAAAATGAGGCTTTTCTTTTTATTTAGTAAAGGTAAATGTTTTTTAAATTATTTCACACCAAGCAAGGTGATAAAGCCCCTGAGATACAAGGGGTTATTGAGAGTGAAAGAAGCTAAGAAAATGTTATTGAGGAGAGAGGACAATAAAAGACCAGGATTCAAGGAGACAGACAATCGCAAATGATGTCGTATTTAAATTTTTGTAGCTCATAGTTGACAGGAAAAAAGAAGGAAACCAAGAAAGCATTACTATTGTATGAGACAATAGTCTAGACTGTTGATTCATAAATTTGATGACATTGTAATTGTGAGTTCAATCCCTGGTCCAAGCAGTGTGTACTTGGACTTAAAGGAAACGGGCAAGCAATAACTGAGCAGTACTAAAAAATATGAACTAGATGAAATATCCCTAGACATGAACAGTGAAACGAGAACAGTCTACCCCTGTAGTATTAAATAAAGGGTTCAGTTCAGAATTCCTTGCAGGTTACCCAGATTGATATACACCTGATGAAGGCCAGAGGGCACAATGGTCGAAATGTGATAAGAACAACAAAGAGGAGGACAATAGTCTGAATGTAAATAGCATAAATAACGATAACTCCTCGTCTCAGAAATTCAAACAGAAATAAAAGAACAAGATTCAAGGAGACAGAAGATGATGATTGATGTTACATTTAAATTTTTGAAGATGATAGTTGACTGCAAATCAAAAATATGAAAGAGAGTTCCACAGACGAGAAGTACAAAGACCTCTAGAAGATTTGATTATTGTCCATTACAGATTCTATCAGAGGTGAATTGGATGCTTTGTGCTGATATGATTTTTGATCACAACAACAAAAGTTTTTAAATATGAAAAGGAATTGACTTGAAAACTTACCATGAAATAATTTTTTTAATGAACAAATAAAAGTTTATTTCAATTTAAAGTTGGTAAAGATTCTGAGATGTTCAGTAATCGGTGGATTTGTAACAGGAGTGCTTGTTGTGTTTATGTAGAAAACACATGTTACCTGGTATTATTTTTCCTGTAACGATTATTGCAGTCTCGAATGTAAGTCCAAGTTAAAAAAGGAGCAACATAAAACAATATAAAACAAACAACAACTAATTTTATGCATTGATAAAAGGAATTCCAATTCCAATAAAGGAGGAAAACATTTAAAGACTAATTACATAGGAAACATTTAACCACATGATAGACATGTGTATGAAAGAGTACAAAAAGTCATGAGAGAAAAGAAAGGCAATGAAAATGAACGTGCGCCAATGGGGGATATTTTTTCCCAACATGCAACTACGTCTTATAGCCAGAGTTGTAAAAGAGGAAAGTGAATGAATGAGAATATCATTGCCTATTTATATGCTTAAGGTGTGTCCCCCTAGCAAAAGTCAAGTGGAATAAAACCACAGATTTTTGTCAAATAAATATCTTCATATTTTTCTTGTTATTTAATCCATCTTAAAGCATTCAAATAAGCAACAAAACAAATGATGAAGATATTAGTCAAGAAAATATGTAGAATAACAAAAATCCTTCCTCTTGGAAGCTTGGAAATTGGCATTCTGTTATAACAAGACAAAAAACGGCTTGTGAATTCTTCTAAATTAAGATCCATTCTGAAACAAGAAAGGATTCTCTTCCAAAGTCCACAAATGTCTGCTGATGTGACATCCATCAAATGAAGGTTAAAGAGTAAAGCAACTGAAAAAAATGTCTAATATAGCCACAAAGATGACGATATTTGTCTGAGTATAAAATTATTTAAAATTTCTTTGAAATTTTGCTCCATTTCTGTATATATTTCTGAAAGGAGGTATTGTAATTATTTACATTATTTACATTGTTTGGACTGTTCTCCTCATCTTTATTGCTATATTCACAAAGTTTCACCCATTGTATGCTCCGGACTTCTTCAGGTGATTGGAATTTCAAACTGAGCCTTTTATTTTGTCCACCGAGGTAGATTGTTCTAGTTCCCCATGCCATGCTTCTTCTAGATGTCTCAGTTATCTCCCTTTAACTCACCTCTCCAAGGACACATGGCCTAGTGAATAAAAGTATTGGTTGGATCCAGTGACATGACCCAGAGAGTTGTGAGTTCAATAGCTGGCTACTGCAGTGGTGAACAAAACAAAATAAAGGGTTCAGTTCAAAATTCCAATCACCTGAAGAAGGCCAAGTGTATAACAGCCAAAACGTTGTGAATATGGAAATAAAGATGAAAACAAAAGTCTGAAGAATGTAAATAATGTAAATAATTTGCTCCATTTGTTTTTTCATTTCTTTCAGACTTATCAATGTCCTAGCTTTGATGAAAATGACCAGACTCCTTTACCACATAATGTTTGTCCCAAAGGAATGTTGGCAAAAGCTCTCAAGGCTCAATATTCACCCTGTAGAGTGGTAAGTCAATAAAGTTTTGAATGACTACAACAAGGTGTTGTGCATTAAAAGAACTTAGTAAGCATCAATAAGACTGTAGTCTTACTCTTTGAATATGGTTTTCCTGAGTGTTCAAAAATGGCTGCTTCCATTAAAAAAAATTGTGAAGTAAAGAAAAAAAGCAGCAAAAACAAAGAAAGTCTAAAATAAAAATTGGTAAATACAAGATCTATGTGGAAAGTATTCAATCATTTAATATTCAGGAAAGAGTAGCCTACCTAATAATGACGCCTTAGTCCCCTTCCAAGAATTCCATTTTTGATGTAATGCATATGGCATCATATATACAAGTAATTAATACTTCATTAATAAACAAGTTATTTTGTAAATATTTCTATCTTTAATCACAAGCATCCACCAAATGTTGCATATGCCCAGTCGTATATACCCTACAAATGAACACATAAACAAGGAAATGTAATAATCAACAACAAATTAAAGAAACAATAAGAAATAATAAGTAAAAAGTTAACAACTCTATAAAATAGCTACTAATAAATGCATTCTGACCCACAATTATTCATACTCAATAACCTCTAGGATAATTTGAAACATTACAGTCCACCCAATAACCCACTAGGATAATACAATAGACCTTATTACCCATAATGCACCATTGACCAGCATATATAAGCAGTTGAGCCAAAACACATGGTGCAAAAATCGGTTGTCACAGGGTTGTGTAGATGAGAATTTCTTTTGTTTATTTATAAGCAGCAATTATGACACCCATTCCACCCTTAAAAAGAAGAATTACTGCCCAAACAGTGACTGATCATAATTGGTGAAACTGATAGTTATGCTAAAAAGCTTGTGATGACCGTGATTTTAAATATTGGTTGGTGAAAATAAATAAATAAAAATCAAATTTTAAAAAATTCTGAAAATTACAAAAAAAAAGATATCAGTGATGTGAGTTTCAAATTTGACAATAAAGCATGATATTTTTGCTGTTAATATTTCAATATTTCTATTCTTCAAACAACTTTGATATTCTAAAGATGAAATAACAAAAAAGTAAATTGCTTATTTTCTTTTTTAAAGCCATTCCGTCCGACATTTGACAAATTACTCTATTCATCAACATGTCAAGATATACTAACGGTAAGATCAATTTCAAATCTACTGCTTTCCAACTGCTTTTATCAACAGCACAGTTTCATGTCTGCTCCTCCCTACCCCTTGATTTTAAGATCATGGTGTTCTTTACATTCAGGCCAAGTCATAGTGCAACTCATGGCCAGAACTGGAGGTCTATCTCAAATGTTGTTGTTCCACTGGGGACAAAAATATTTATTTTCAGTTTGGGTTTTTGGTACTTCACTGCTGTAATCAGCTTAAGAAATTTTTTTCTTTTTATATTTGGAATAATTTTATCTTTGAAGTAAGTATAAAATGTATTTATTTATTTTCCTTTGAACTTGCTATATTACTTTATGTTTGTGTTATATTCCATGCTAATAGAAATATATACTTGAAAAACACGATGGATAAAATAAGTAAAGGTTTATTGTAAAAACCAGTACAATAATAATAATAATAATAATAATAATAATAATAATAATAATAAGCCAAGAACCAACTATTGCAGCAAAAGATATGAAAAAGAAAGCCAAGGATAAAGCCCTTGAACAGATGAAACAACGCTGGCAAGACAAACCTCTGCATGGCCAATATCCAGAACGTGCAAATAAACCCAATGTTGATAAAGTTAATACTCATCGATGGTTACGAGCATCTGGATTAAAGTCTGAAACTGAAGGCTTTATTCTTGCAGCGCAAGACCAGAGTCTTTTCACTAGGAATTTTCAGGCAAATATCATACATAATAATGTGGATCCAAAATGCAGGTTCTGTGACAAATACCAAGAAACAATAGACCATCTAATCTCAGGATGTTCTATACTTTGCCCCAAATGAATATAAAAATCGTCACGATAGAGTGGGGCAATACTTACACTGGACAATGTGCAAACACTTTGGAAAATGTGTAAGCAAACACTGGTATGAACATCGGCCAGCGCCGGTTACAGAAATAGAAGATGTCACCATTCTATGGGATTATACCATCCACACAGACAGAAAAATTGAAGCAAATAGGCCGGACATTATTGTCAAAAACCAGAAAGAAAAAACTTGCCTACTAATTGATATGGCTTGTCCAGCGGATTGTAACATAGCAACCAAGGAATTTGAAAAACTATCAAAATACAAAGACCTGGAAATTGAAATAGAAAAAAAATGTGGAAATTGAAAAAAACAAGAATAATACCAGTGGTAATAGGTGCACTTGGAATTATAAAAATGGAACAAAACAACACATTGAAAGAATCCCTGAAACCCCAGCTTAAGAGACATACAGAAAATTGTCTTATTAAGTACAGCACACACACTAAGGAGAACTTTGTCTATGTAACGCTAGCAACTTCATCGGAGAAAAAAAAAAAAAAAAAAAAAAAATTAACATGAAATGTGGCCATAACAACACACCACGACCTGCCTTAGGTCTTTCCGCAGACTTGGTAGGTAGTGTGTCCATAGCAGAAATCGAATGATGATGATGATGACAATAATAATAATAAAGGTAACAGTGATGCACAAGGTCATTGCATGTCAATCCAGTAGTTAGTGCTACTATTTGAAGATCGGTAGTTCTCGTGTAAATCTGAGTTGTACTCAACAGATCCCAGCTAGACTCTGTAGTTTGTTGACTTATAGATACTTATAAGTAGTTACTACCTATAGTGTAGTCACTCATGGGGGGGTCAGATTATTCCATTACATCAGTTTTCATGCCAGAAACAAACATTTTGTCCAAAATTCACTAAAAAATTATAATTTAAGAAAGTTGGTCTCGTTACTTGAAAGTTAATATTTTTTACTTAAATTTAATATTCTTTTGCATGAAATTTTTATTCATAAAAGCAAATCCACTAAGGATCGACTTTATTTTCATGTAATCTGTATTTTTGTTTCTAACAAATGAAAAAGGTATGTGGAATTTTTTACCAAGCTTCTTATACTGAAAATATAACATTTTAATTTTACTTGATTTAAAGAAATTAATCTTATTTTTGGTAGTCTTTCTTTTTACAAACGTTACAAAGTCTCTCTGCCCAAAAAGTTAATTTTAATAATGTCTTTCAAAGGCAAAATTTATTTAAAAAAGCAATTATTTTTTTACATAAAGCTATTTTAATATTTTCCTCTATGATATTGTAATTTGTAACAAGTACATTGACAATAAAATTTAATTTGTTCTGATCAATTTCTGTTTTTCTTTCTAAAAGGCGTTTAAAAAAATGTATGTTGAATTTTAGTTCAATTTACTGTTAAAAAAAAAAACAATATAGGAGCAGACATAACATTTTATTAAATTAATAAAAAAATTAATAAAAAATCACATAGTAAAAATGCTATTTCATAATTAAATTTAATAAATTTGATATTTTTATATATTGTAAATGAGGTGGACAAAATGTTAACACTGCTGCTAAACCAGTCATTGATAAGTATAAGTTTCTTTCTTGGTACTTCAATATTATATTTCAATGTCAGTATAACAAAAGTTACTTTATTTCTAAAGAAGAAAATAAAAAAGTTATTTTCATGTTTATTTTTTATCATGTCTCATATTTCGGTTCCAGAATTCATAATTCTGATTTGATTTTTATTTCATCAAAACTGTTTTAATGAAGATGATTAATTCAAATACTAAAAAAAATGCAAATAACATTTTGTACACCCTTGTTAATGGGGTGGAAAGTGATGCATCTGAAGATTTGCCAAATTCTATATTAATTGTAATAAGACCTTAGTAAAGGAAAAATATACCAGGATAAAGATAATTAACTTTTACAAAACAAAATAATTGTGCTATTAATTAATCTCTATTTTTTTTCTTTCAATTTCTGATAATGGCTTGTAATTGTTAATTAGAGAGCTGAGTTTTAATTTCAGTTGGGTTTGTTATATTCACTCACATACAAATGCTGCTGGGAAAGGTATGAATCCACCTCTTCCTCCCCCAGCTATGGGTTAATTAATAAGACTTGTATCATTAAATCAGTATCTCAAAAAAAGAAAAAAATCTTACAATCTAAAAATATTTTCTGGTTTTGAATAACCTGCAAAAGGTTGATAAGCCATAGAATAGTAATCAATGAAAAAACAAGACATAAAAAAATTTCACTTCAAGTTTTCTGCTTTGCTATTCTACAATGGAGCACTTACCTGTCACACAGTTTCTCCTGCATTTCATCCAGCAGGTAAAAAAAAAGAAAGATGTACTCATTTCCAGGATTTCTATAACTCTAACAGACTTGTCTTTTGAATTCATGCAATTTCAATCCCCAATGATGTTCACCTTTGTTATGATCATCAAAATGTCACAAAGATAATTTTTCAATATTGCTGGCCTCAAATTGACATCTTCCATGGCCAGGGCTATTTTGGTTGTTTTGGGATTGGATCTGAAAATAAACTTTTCAAAATGTTAGCCAATGAATGAAGTTCAAATATTTATGTACCCAGAATCCTTTTCTTTGTTCATTTTGGGCATCAAAATAAATATTTTTTTTTTTTTTAATTAATGGCTGACTTTTCATGTACAAGTGATTTTCTGTCAACAGAAATAAAAGTAAATTTTAAACTGAAAGGAGTGATTGTTACAATTGCAATGAAAGAAGAAACAAGCTTTCTTTAGAAATTCAAAAAAAATATTTCATATATTATTTAAATATGGCCACCACTCCCTTTGAAATAGTTCTCTTGGGAATGACCCCAGCACCACTTTTGTGTCTCAAAGTGTCAAGAGCTGAGTAAAACTTTACAGCAATGTATGTTCAGGTTTTCCAGGAGTAGCTCAAGGCTGACTAAATAACAAATTCAAACCAATGAATTGTTCAGCAATGGACCTCAGAAAAATGTGTAACCTCATCCAGATTATTTTGTGTTTTGGGGGAGTAATCAATTCGTCACCCTGAACACTTATCTTGAACTGACATTCAATTAGTCTTAAAATGCATGTGACACACAAAAACCTGTGGTAAGCCAAAAGAATGTTCATCAAAAGTCTGACATTTTGAGGATCTTGGTAAATTTGCTGAACTTCATGTAAAATTTCATGCAGGCATGTTGCTCAAATTTAACAATCATTGTAAAGATTGCAGAGCCATTCCAATATAATGTCAGAAAACCTTGCATAATAACTGAACAAAAGTATATAGCATAAAAACTATTGGTAGGCATATTCAGTCAGTTGGGGACCAAATGAGCATTAGATACATGTGCATTTGTCATTGTTACTCTCATCCCAGACACTTTTGAATAGCATCTTTGATTTGGGCCTCAAGCAGACCTGAATAACATGCAAGTATGAAATCCACAAATTTATTGGACTACCAAAAATAGGTTTACGTTTTTCTCTTCTTTCTAAAAACTGAAGCCATGAAATTCTTTTCTTTTCCAGGACATTTTCTGGCATTTGTTTCTCTCACACTTCCACTCCATTCCAAAAGTTCAGATGAATCTCTTTCATCGAGTTGCAAAGAATTATGTCACTCTAATTCAACTTGCAAGGGATACATATTTTACAGATTCCTTCTTTCGAGTAAGTCTGCAAATTTTGGTCATTTTCAGATTTTCTCTTTTGTATATTTTTTCTTTTAGCTGGCGTTGGGGGTGGGAGGAATTCTCTTTTTCACTGATTCATTCAAACCAATTCTTTCATCTTTGCTGCCAAGGAATGTAAATTTATTGTAAATGGAATTACAATTGTGGCACGAGGCTGAAGAGGAAGTGGGGTGAGTCTTGTCTACACTATCCTAAACCTAGCTAATCTGATTCATGACCCATTCATCCATTACAGTTTACTTATTTACCACAAGAACTTATCCATTGCCATTCAATCCACCATATACCACAATACTACATACTCACAGGGACCCTACAAACATACCCAGGTCAATAATTTCATGATATAGCAAAAGTCCTTTGGGGTGGGGGTATCATTTTTTATAAAAGCATGTAAAGATTTAATTGCATGAAATGAGGGAGGAAGTGATGAATCCACAGGAATGACTCCAAATTACTTCCCTCTCCCCAATTTATAGGCAAAACCATACACATGCATGCTGGGATTTCTTCGTAGCCAACAAGATAGGCCACATGTCAGTGTCCGTCTTGAAGTCAGAATGCTACGTTTACATGTTCAAATTTATTTTTGTGTCTCAACCCCAATTATAAGTTTGTGAAATTTTTATCATATTATTGTTGCTTTGCCTTATTACTATAGATTTGCCTTGCATATAGTTTGCTTGTTTTATATGATTTTTGACCCTCTTCTTTTATGTCTTTTCTTCTTGTTATTGAAAAATTTGTCAATTCTGTTTGTTGGGCAATTCTGTCATTCATTTTACATTTAATGATGGCCACTCACTATACAATATTTGTTGTTTTACTGCCACATTTTGGCTGCTTCATCTTGTATCCTTCTGTCTGAATTACTAAGACAACGTATTGTTATTATTATACATTGATTTTTTTGGGATTAGTTTCCTCCTTTTTATCCCAGTGCTTTGTCTCATATACCTTTCAGCATTCTTCTTGTCTGCATTTCTCTGATGAGATATTGTTACTATTATACATTGATACTTTCTAAACTGGTTTCCTCAACATTTCTGTCTTTATCACAACATTTTAGTGATTTTCAACTTTCCTCATTGGAAGAAAAATTCATCTCAGAGATTCAGATAAAAATATCCCCCATCTTTGTTTTGGTTGGTTGGTTCATTCTCCCAACAAAATGTGAAATGGAAGAAAAAAGAAGGAAAAAAAGAACGCTGGGGTAACTTGAATAAAAAAAACAAAATTAATTGAATATTAATAATAATAATAATAATTAATATTAATAATCTTTTTCCATTCTGATCATTTTTGTGTTGTTAAAGATCTTCAGTCATAAAATGTCAGATTCAAACTTCCTTCCAAAATTGAAAATTTAAAGAAATTATTAAGGGAAACAGAGAAGCTGTCAAAGAATCTGAAAATATGGAAAGAATATTGACAAGGAAGGAGATTATGTCGAAGAATAAATGATTTCTTTCATTATATGGCAACAAAATAACCTATGTAAGTAGAAATTACACACAAGGCTTTCCCGATTTCCTAAAACCTGATCAAAATGTTTAGGTTGAGCCCAAGATTTTACTAGTGTATCAATAATGTTTTGTGGCTTGACCAAATGAAATAGTTTATCATACTTATTATAAAACCCAGGTTGTGTGTGTGTGTGTCTGTTCGTTTATATATTGGATTGGATTTCCTACATTTTTCAACTGATTTCAACAAAACTTCACAGGACGACGTAAAATTACGTTGCGGTGGTTCTGACAGCACTAAAAATTGGAAAAACACAATTGTTTTTCCACGAAATCAATTTGAAAACACGATTAGGAGGCATTAATGAAAGGGGGACAACTCATATCGAGTTATACTTATTATAAAACCCAGGTTGGTTGTTTGTGTGTGTTCGTTTATATACGGGATCGAATTTCTTACATTTTTCAACCGATTTCAACAAAACTTCACTTTTTTTTTGGCAGGTAGTGTTTCTTATTGTCTTGCAAACTTTTTTCTTTATTTTTACATTCAGAATGCTTTAAAAATTCCATTTACAAAACAATTGTTTATAATAAAATTCTATTCAATCAGTATACTCATAACGATTGAAAACAATGTTTTTGTTTGTGTTAGGGTTTGACCAATTCGTAAAAAAAAAAAAAAAACTAATTAAGACATGCGTGTCCGTCAACCTTAAACAATAATCTTTGTCAATTTTATTTTTCAATCTTTATGATGGTCGATACTTGATCTATCTCTTACTGTTATATCCCTGGGCAATGCCGGGCTCTACTGCTAGTACTAAATAAATGAAAGTAGGTTTGGGAATCAAGAAGGTTTGAAACAACTATAATGAAAAAAGAAAGCAATCAAATTCAAAATGGTTAATTAGAATGAATAAAAAGAATACTTTTGTTGATTCTCTTTTGCCAGGAATTACCATTCTTGATGCCACAAGCAATTTATGCTGCATTTCTTCATTGCTTTACTGATTCTTCACACCATTTTGATTCAACATTTAAAGAAACAATAATCAACTTGGTATGGTTGTGGATGACAGGTCAGTGACATCAAGTCTTTTCAGGACATTAAAACAGACTTCCTCAGATCATTTTTAACAAGTCTCCTCTGTAAAAAAAAAAAAAAAAAAAAAAAAAAGCAGAGAGAGAAAGAAACATGCATTTGATAACCAAATTAGCTGAATATTTTTTACTTGTCTTATAGGTCAATATTTGAACACAAATCAGGATTTGAAAATGCTTATTTTCGGGCTAGACAGTACATCCTCATTTGGAAAACTAATGCAAGAAAATCTTCCTGCTCTTTAATTTCACTCATTTGATCTTGTGTCAGACTAGCCTATCCTTAGGAAGCATGTCTTTATCTCTCATCGATACCAAATATACAATTCTCCTTCTCCTTGATTTGCTTTTACAAATCCTTTAGCATTTTCCTTCCATTTAAAGCAACAGGTTCAGTTATTTCCCCTTTTATAACAATAAACATTCAAGTGATTGTGATTTCATTTTCAGTTAAATGAGAAGAACCAGAGAAATATTAAAGTGCAAAAACAATTATTTACATCTAGTGTCCTAACCTTAGAGTTATCTCCTCCTGGTATAGATATTGAAAAGAGGACAATTTAGTCCCATGGATTGAATAATGGGTTCAGTTCTAAATTTCCAGAAGCTTATCATTTTTGCCATAAGAAGGTCAGAGACTACAATAGGCAAAATATTTTGACAATAGCAACCAATTTCTGTCTCTGTCTATATTTCTGAGATGAGGTATTATGTACACTATTTACATTATTCGGACTATTGTCCTCATCTTTGTTGCCATATTTATCACAATGTTTTGGCCCTTCAGTATCTGTCTATATTTCTGAGATGAAGTATTATGTACACTATGATTAAGAGTGAGCAGTTTAGTTTTGGAAGCATTAAAATTAATCCATCCTTTGCCCCAGTTAACAACAGACTGAAGTTTGTTTTTGCATATCAGCTGCCAATATGACTTTATCAGACTGGATTTTTATATATTCATATATATGGGCGTGTGACAGGTATGTTTCTTTGATTAACTGTAGTGGAGTATTTGCAGGCAGTTTTATTTATTTTTTTTAATAATCAGATAGTCGTGTGTGAGTGCATGTGTGATGCACCACATATTTCCTTTGAGGATGAAGACGTCTCCCTCATAGCAAAACAGGACATGTCTTGTCACTATAGTATCCTGCAGTTGAAGAGTGAAAGAAGAGAGATAAAGGTGGGGAGTTCCTTTTATATTGCTTTATACAATGCCACTTAGAGGGTGTTAAGAGAAGTCTGCTGGCAGACATAGTGGGGTATTCACACACCAGAAATTCAGATAGTGGAAAAAATTGTTTAAAAGTTTGTTTTCTCCTTCTGATCTTTGACATTCACATGAATTTCATTGAATATCATTTTTAATTATTTTGGCAGGCATCACTCCTTCCCCAGGAATTTGGAAAATGTGGAACTGCAAACTGCTGGAAGCTGACAACATGATAATGTCTGAGAGCAAATTTGAAAGGAAAAAATCCAGAACCTGTATGTAGAGTTCTCTTCGTGCCACAATTTTAGAATGAAAGTTTGGTAAAAGTCTCTTTAAATTCTGACCTCTGACCTTTTCAATTATTCTTGCAATCTACCCCAAATCTATCCTCATTCAATGGAAGAGCTTATCTCCTCCCACAACAGCACAGCCTGAAAGAAGTCATTGCAGTTTATTGAAGATAGCCATAATCTCTACATATATTCATATCACTATATTTGTTTGTTTTTAGACTATTTTTAATATTCAAAGTGAGATTATCAGGGTGCAATGTCAGGTAAATCCCTTTTCTGCTCTCAAGATCTCCTTCCTAATTAATATTCATGAGATTGTATTTGGTTACATGATATCTGAAGTCTTTAATATTGATAATATTTTTACTGATAATGAAGATGTAAATATGAAACTTTATCTGGCACAAGGCTATTATAACAGAGTACTTATTGAGAACCAAATTGATTATCCTAGAAATATTCTGCAAAATTAAAATGTTCATCATTAATGTATGGGTGGTGTCCAGAATGCAATATATACAAGGGGGTGCTGAAAAGTACTTGGCTTGAACAAAAATGGGGACTGAAAGAAATTCTAATGTTTGTTCATTTTGTCAGATTTTGAGAAGGAGATCAGGCTAAGCAATTTCCAGATCTTGCACTCTTCCGGCAGACAAAAGCGCTGTTGGTGTAAGCTATGAGGTCATAGTTAAATTTTATTAAATACATAAACATTTTCACTTTGATGATTACGCAACTTTAAATGAGAAAATATACACTATGAAAAAAAAAAAAAATCCCCAAAAAGTCAGTGCAAACATACTGTGTATGAAATTTACAGCAGAAAAACAGTATTTTTATGCAGCAAATTAAATGTTACTAAGCTGAATCCTTTGAAAGTTGTCATCCAATTTTAGCATTTCTACATTCTTCACTGAAGTTTTCAATCTGACGTCTAAACTCTTCCAAAGATCAGTTTTATTGAAGAACTGATTGATTGAATTTCCATTTTTTTTTCCAAGTTTTTATTAAGACAAAATTTATTTGTTTTATATTGGAAATTCTTTTCATCTGACCATTTTGTGATTTTAAGGGAATTTCCAGGAGACAAAGAATGACCAAAATCTTCGTAGAGATTCTAGAAATAAGAAACCATCTGCTACCAAAGATGATATCCAGTCGTCGTTGATGCTTGACAATGAAATTCCTTCTGATAATTTCCAAAGTCATTTCACAAGAAATGAAGATTTTGTGAGAGCCAAAACCAACACAAAGGAACCAAATCAACTTTCAACTTTTGAGAAAAGCAAAAAGGTTGGTCTTTTATTATTTATCAAAGGAATTTCCTTTTTCAAATATGCACAATTCACCTAATTGACTAAATGCTCTTGAGGCGAATGAAGAAAACAGTAACCAGCGAGTAAATTCAAGCTCTCCCAGCTGGTATTTCAACCTTGAGTCGTTCCTTCTTGAGTTCTGTTTCCAAATCACACTAACTGCCTGTTCTTGCCGTCAACCGTGAACGTCCCTCGAAGAACTCCCCAACTCGGAAAAAAGTAGTTGTTTTTATAGTTGTTCATATACCCATAATCCCTTGCGTCTTCATGTGATCCCATAATTCATTGCGTCCATGTCCCATAATGCATTGCATCGTCATTGCATAAAAATGTGCTGCCAGTCCCCCCTCATTCTTTTACGTTATCTAGCCGAGGATGGATTACGGCAGAGCGGTAAGTGCTTTTTTCTCTCCCTCATTTCAACTGCAGTAGCTTTACATGCTAAGCAAATACAGGCTCTTTTTTGGTGGGGACAAGGCAAGTCGCGACCAGTTGTGCTCGTCCCAGGTTCTGTCTCATGTCCGCCACACTCCCCCCTGATCTCCTGATCACACAGATGACAGTGAGGATACGGTCTTTTGTTCCGGGTGCTCCTCCGAAGGGGGATTGGTTGAACTTCTTCATCAGAGGAGCTCTCATTAGACACGTCCTGATCTATTGGCAAACTACTTCCATCGGAGTGATTGGTTGTTGAATCCAACTCTATGTATATTGGCTGTTCACTATCCTCCGTGTCTTCTTTGTCAGTTGTGGGATTTGAGCGCAAAAAAGGGCGCTGGTCTCTAACATGACGAGGCATTCCATCGACCTGCACTGACTGCTGACTCACCACCTCGGTCACACGTCCGGTTCCAAATTTGGTCGTGCATTTACCACGTGGAGTCTTAACCCAAACAATGTCCCCTTTCTTGTATTCCCCTTCGGTTATTTGTGATTCAGGCGAGGGCGTCGCGTCGATGCCTCTCACCCGGACGTGGTATGTGTGCAGTACATTAGCCGGTGCCGTGGAAGGTGAAAGGTTGTCCTTAGCTGTGACGTTATGCCAGTAAACCGCTTCCAAGACTGAACAATTTTTCCTGGCCGCTATGGTTTTGACGCTTCTGTGGTTGCGTTCCACAATGCCATTTCCAGACGGCACGTAAGCGCACCGGAACCTCAAATGCACACGCCCCAGCTGTTTACAAATTCCCTAAATTGTCTGCAAGTGAACGTGGTGTCATTGTCAGTCAGTATTTCAGTCGGCAGGCCTCGTTTGTAGAAGACTGTCTCTAGCTGACGAATGACACCAGCAGAGTCTTGCCGTCTCAGTGGCCACCATACCGCAAAATGGGAGGGACCACAGTCAATGAGCATAAGAAAATGGCTATCATTGTAATGGGTCATGTCCATTGCTAACCTGCTCCAGTTTTTTCTCACACTCAAATTTCCTTTCTTCCAATGCACTGGTGCTGGATCGATCGATTGGCAGGCTTCACAGGTTCTAACAACAGATTTTACCAGTTCCTTAGACACCGTTGGATCTACAGTCCTAGCAAAGTACATTGTTCTTTTAACACCTGGGTGCCCACTCTGCTGGTGGATGTGGGTCACCTGACGTTTGCTCAACTGGCTCATTGCAGTGACACAACTCACTTGCACCAGTCCTCCTCCTTTCTTGTGCATCTCCAACCAGCATTGCGGCACTCTGGTGAGGCTGTCAGCGCAGTTCTGACAAGATTTTACCAACGTCACAGTCATAGTCAGTGCGTACTCCTCCACCAAAGCTCGCAGTGTCTCTAAGCGCTGCCTCATCAGTATTTTACCCACTGCCTTCATGTTCATGCACGTCTTTCCTGTCAGGGTGTCAGACACCCACCGATGCACACATGCTGAATCGGTGACCACATGCATAACTGGTGCCTGCCACTGCAGGGCAAGATTCACGCCCTTGATCACCGCATCAAGCTCAGCAAGATTAATGTGTTTGGCATCATTGGTTGGACGCAACCAGCAAGCATCTTCCACGACACTCCCATTCACCTCTAGTGCTACTCCCGTTGCCACGGAGCTTGCATCCACCCAAACTGTCATTTCATTGCCGTTCACACACCAGTCTCCGCCGACAGGATCTGATTCCCGCACTCTGTCCACTGTTTCCTCCAGCATAAGTCCAAGAGGGGCATCCTTTATCTTGTCGTCCCATCCTTTGGTTAGTGTACTTGCATAACGTTTAATAAATGCAGTTGCCACCTAAGCCAACTGCACACAGGAAATGACCCCAAGTTTCCCGTGACAAGGAAAATACGTTGAAGCGGGTCACCTTTTGAGCAATTTCTTGAACCTGACCTCCCCGCTTCCATCGGGGAGTTGCTTTCTTCCCAGACTGGCAGACCAGGACCTTAGTTCCGTCTCTCAATCGCCTCCGGATCTTAACAGACTAGCCCGTAATCTGCAAAGTGCTGTCTTACACGCTGCAGAAACTAGGCCTTCATTTATGAAGATATCGTCGACGATTATGCGACGCGGGCACTCTTAATGTCCTGATCCTGGGACGTTATCATGTCGATCACTGACTTCATGACAAGTGGTGGCACATTCAGGCCAAAACCCAAACGCGTAAGGCAAAACCGCTTGCCCTTAATGACCACTGTTTGAAACGGCCATAACGATTTGTCAATGTGAATCTGTAGGTATGCATTTTCAAATCCAACAGCGATACAACAGCTCCTTTTTGTCGTTGCCATTCTCGTAATTTCTCACACACCTCTCGCGCCAGCCGTGAATGCGTCTACAAAGCCGTTCAACTCCCGATAGTCAAGTACCGGCGGACCTTCTGTTTGTGTTCTTGTACGACCGCAATTAAGGGAATTAATCCCTTGGGTGGGCCAAGCTCTTTCTCGGGATATGGCAAAGCCATCCGTCTCGCTGCCACCGTGCTAGTTCTTCATCGTATGCATCCCGGATGTGGCCAGGTACTGTGTACTCTGTACTTTATTGACCAACTTGGTGAATGACCAGGTGAATGACCACTTCCACAATGCAGTCCACGTTTTGTGCTCGGGTTAAACGTCACTCTAAAAGTCAGGCTTGTTGATAACAATGGCGGCACATGTGTTCAGGTTTTCAAAACGCGCTTCGCCTGATTCGGTCAAGTAAACACCTCCGAGCACTTTGATTGCATCAATCCCAGAAGAAGATCAAATCCTATCAACTGCCCTTCCCGACCAGAACCTCAACAGTCACGGGCTGAATCTGCTCGGCGCCCAACTTAATTTTACCATATCCACGGCACTTCAGGGTCTTCCCGTCGGCAGTCAACACTCCCACCTCTTCCTGCTTCCAGCAGTGACACACAGTCTTGCTCACCAGCGTCTGTGAGCATCACGAATCCACTAGAGCTGTGCACTCTACTCCATCTACAAATACTTGTACAGTGGGTAACTTCCGGGTTTTTACTTGCTCGGGGAGAAGGCTGGCGCTGATGCCTTCTCCCCTTCTGCTTATTTCCCTGGCATTCTGAGGAAATGTGTCCAATGCCATTGCATCGAAAACAATTTTTGTCGCGGCCAGACCTCTGCGTTCTGTTTGACCTCTCCTGACGTCCTTGTGTACAATTCTTCGCCATATGGTTGGGTCCAGAGCACTTGTAGCAGGTAATCGTTCTGCTAACAGGTTTGGCAGGGGAACCTCAGCTTCTGAGCGAATTGGTAGCTTTACGGATGGGCGGCCAATACCTGGCACCCTTTGTCATCCGTCATAATAGCCCTTGCTTGGGTCAGAATCTGTTCTAGATTCATGTCGTCCATCCTGGAAGAAGCTTTGAGAAGCTACCTAACATGATGTGGCAGTCCTGACACAAATGCACATGCCATCCACCGATCAGGTAGCGGTTCTCCTATTAGCCGCGCCAAACGATGCATTTCAGCCAGGAATTCATCCACAGTTTCCCCTGGGCGAAGACGCCGTCCCATAAATTGGTCGAACGCATTAAATCTGTCAGTCGCATATGCAGTCATAAGGGCCCGTTTAATGTGTTCCGCGTCTGCCCTCTGCTCTCCACTGAGTTGTCTATACACAGCAAGGGCACCACCTCGAAGTCGTAAAGGCAAGAAAAAAATTATATAAGTTGATCACTAAAGACCACAATGGCTTGGACATGTGCAACAGAACGATTCATTATTGAAGCAATGTACGGAGCTGAACAGTAAGAGACATCATGGCAAATGACAGCTCAAGAAAACTTGGGGAGAAAATGTCAACAGAGACCTCAACAGATTTTGACTCCATTTTTTTAGGTCTTTTTAGCACAAAATCATTGCCAAATGAATTTATCTCAGACTAGCAGCATGGCCTGGCGTTGCCCGTGCTTGATTCAAAAATTGTACAACTCATACAGCAATCGCTATCACTTGACTTAAAATATTTTTGCCCTTCCTTGCCTTTAAAGGAGTGCCCTTTGCCATGCTGATGTTGCTACATGCCTTACTTCTTGCCTATCTCACACTGCAAATTTTTTCTAAGCTCTATACTAAACATTAAATCTGTTACGAAAAAAGAACTAAACAAAATTAACACAAAACGATCAGCTTTAAAAAAGGACTTATAACTGGAAAAACTGAATGAAAAAAGAATGTTAGCAACAAATACTTTTTCACACCCAACCCAGTTCTGCGGAATCAGAATCAACGTTGAGTTTAAGCAAGCGAATGAGCCAATTGGAGTAAAGTGTCATGCAGATTTAAATTTTTCCCCACTTGTGACAAATGCAGCTATCGATTTTTTTGCATGCTAGCATGCTAGTTAACATTTGTGTCAGTCAGTTGTTGGCTCTCACGCTGGCCAATAGAATCTTCCTGCCTATTTGTGGCAGCCAGCTATAGGCTCTCACTCTGGCCAGTAGAAAATGGCCACAAACTACATGAAAACTGCCATAGAAGCATGAAAAAAATCGATTATTTCCACTATCGATGGGAGTTGGGAAATGCAAAGTCCTGTTGACTTGGAGTATGTGCATGTAAATTTTGGCGCAAATCCGTCGAAAATTGTGGCCGTGCATTCGTTACACACACACACACACACACACACACACACACACACACACACACACACACACACATCCTGCCTTTTATAGATAGAGATTAAGAAATTGCCAATCCTTTAAATTTACAAATTTTCTCTATGAAATGTATTCTATTCAATTTTACTGATTTTTTTGTTTTTTTTCAGCCAAATACAAAATTGGTAAAAACTGTTTTCAACATAAATGAAAGTTGTCCTTTGGTGCAACACTTTCTGCGAATCCAAAATGCAGAATTGCATGCTGGGTCAGTCAATCGAATAAGAAGAACGCAAATAGAATCCTCACAACCAAAAACTGACTGAAATGCCACAAAGCAATAAGTTTTATTCTCCATTGAATTTCAGATTTAATTTAAATTCCACCTACTGATGAATAAGACTTTACATTTGTAACTTCATATTACATCTCTTTAAATCAATTACTTAAATGCCATTTTTGTTGTTTTAATTTTGACTGGTTCACTCTCTGGTCATCAGCAGGTGTTGTCACTCTTAACATCATCTTCTGAAAGTCAAATGCATTATTTTGAATTCACAAAATCCTGTCATCTGAAGAAACAATTGTTGGTGTTGCCAGTGCTTTGATTTAGAAGCAAGCGTAGATATTTCTTGAATTTACTCTGGTACAGTAAAGAATGGGGGGGGGTAAGAACAGTATGTTGTACGAAATTTCCAAGTGGGGAGCATTCAAAATTCTAACTGTTTCCTTGAAATCCTAATTTGTTAACACCAGTTGGGAATATGCAACTGCCTCAACCACAAGGCAGACAACAGGATGAAATTCAGAACTATCAGGCCATTATTGCTGCTGTTTAAACATTTAGTTGTATCAAATTACAGGATGGTAATTTGGTGAGACTACTAATTAGATAACTATTAAAAGTCTCAGGAGAGTAGGTTAAATGAAAAGAAAATTAAAAAAGAAACATTAAAATTTATTTCTTAAAATAACAAAATGAAATTAGGAACTCAGATTTAACAAGAAAAGTTTCAGTAAAATTAATTTTGATTGGTTATTGTACTGTTATTTTAGAGGATGTAATGAATGAAACATTTTTTGCATAGTAAAAATACGAGGTTAATAAATCTAATAAGATAGCATTGAGTTAAATAGCAGAGTAGAGTAGGCTCTCTAGCTATGGTTGGTGATCTGTCCAAGAGAAGGAATTCAAAAATTGTACATGGCCCCGACCCTGTGATAGAGATATTCTAAGTAAAAATCTGTTAGGTTATCATCAAAGTGCTTCATCAAAATCAACTCATTGAACAGGAGTTTGTGCAAGGATTCAGGTAATGGATTATATAACTATATGACATCAAATGTTGATTCTCTTTAGTAGGATATGCTTACAAAAACAATTACTGCTTTATATATTTATATAAACACACATATGCACACGTGTGTGTGTGTGTAAATATATATATAAATAAATATATTCTGCATGTGTGTATCAAAAATGTGTGTGTGTGTGTGTGTATGTAGAGTCTGCCAAAAAAAATGTATGCATGCTTCAAGAAAGGATAAAATTGTATAGATATTCTAACACTAAATTTATTCAAACATAACAAGATTAAAATAAGTTACCTTTGGACTCTACAATCACAATGATGGGCTTTTAGCTTCTAGACATTTATTAGTATGGCAAAGTACTGCTTGAGCAACATTGGCCAAAATGTTCATTGGAATTGATGCACATACATTTTCAATTTCTTGTCTAAGCATCACCAATGTAATGCCATCTGTTGAGAAAATATTGTACTACTGTAAACAGTGTTATTGCAATTTGATAAAACTACAAAAAGATAATTTTTTCCTTTTGTGAAATTTGTATACAACATTTTGGATATATATATCTGTGAATTACAATCAATGAAAACCAAACAAATTACCTGATACAGATGGCCATTTTGTTCTTGGGGAAAAATTACCCTGGACTTGTCAATGCAAAAAACATTTGTTAAAATAAATGAATTCCCATGTTTCCTCAAAGCAAATTTGAAAAGTAAAAGGTCTTAACTTTATGAAATGGCCATCTGTATTGATAATTTGTTTGGGTTTCATTGATTGTAATTCATTTATATGCTCTCTAATAAAAATTATATCAAGCTCTCTTTTGTAGATCAGTTTTAATATTTTATATTAATAGGATCTACTTGGATTACTTACCCACGGATTCTTTATATATATATATATATATATATATATATATATACACACACACACACACACACTTTGTCTGTAATCTATTTTGCTTCTCTGTCACATCATAGAAAACATTCATGATTATTATTTACTGTCAGACTAATGTCCTCATCTTCCTTAGGTTTGGATATTAGTCCAACTGTAAATAATGAGAATTCCTCATTCCAGAAATTCAGACAGAAATAGTCATGATTAATTTTTTTTTTTTTTTTTTTGTAAAATTCCTTCAATTCTTCCTACCAGCATGAGAATACAATCCCTATTTCAAAATTTAATGAAATTTAAATGTTTTTAATCATGGTAACATGACAGACAAAAAAAAAAAAAAAAAAAAAAAAAAAAAAAAAAGAAATGGTACGATACAAGGATAATTAAAAATAAACCAAGAGTTATTCATATTTTGATTTCATTCTATCATAATAAATCTCACTGTGAGTGAGTGAGATTTCTATAAAACAAGTGAAAAATGATGATGCAATAGAAACAAATTTATTTTTAGCCAAATATTTTTCTTTTCAAATATTTCTTAACTAATTCACAATCCAGACATTTTTATCATTGTGAATTATTCACATTAAAGAAATAAATTGTAAAAAAAAAAAAACAATTGTTTGCGTTCAAAGGAGATTAAAGATATTTTTTTTAGAGTTTCAAAATGATCCTAAGACTTTTTTTATCACTTTCAGATAAGAAATTTTGTCGGTCATGTGGCATTTGGGTTAAAAATGAAAATGACAACATAATTTTTGTCCACAAAATTGGTCATCCACTTCGGACTGTCTTTTGAACTGCAAAATTCATATGCGTGTGTGAGTGAGTGAGAGAGAGATTGTTCAACACAATGAAAAAGATTTTACTAAAGCCTTGAAAATATTAAAAATAATAATATTTATTACTTTATTAAATGCAAAAATTGTTTATTTCCAGTATGGATTATTTGATATTAAGTGTAAAAATGTTCGATTGTGGGTGGGAGATTGCAGATTGCTATTGGTGTGACAGGAAAATAGAAATTTAAGAACATTATTTTTTCATGGGTTTCTTTGTCTTGATGTTAAATATTCAAGAAATTTGCAAGTTCATATTGCTTATTAAAACAATGTAAAGAATTTAGAACAAGAAAGTTTTTTTGCAGGTATCCTTATGTTTGTTAAATTTTATCCTGTATTGGCATGATAAAAAAAATCTAGATGAGTGAATTATTCTTGTTCTGCTGATCATATTTAGGGATATACCTCATCTAGTTTTTTTATTTAGCACTGCTTGGTTATTGCTTGGCCCAGAACAATAGCCTAGTGGATGAAAGTGTTGGTTCATGAATTGAGTGACAGTAATTGTAAAAAGTTCAGTCATGGGTGTGGCAGGGCCTACTTGAACTCAGTGAGAGCTAAGCAGTAAGTGAGCAGCACTAAATAAGAATGAGATATCCCTAGATATGGTCAGCAAAACAAGAACAATCTACCGTAGTAGATTAAATAAAGGGTTCAGTTTGAAATTTTTTTTGAAGGCTACCTGGATTGACAAGCACCTGATGAAAACCAGAAGGTACAAGCACTGATAGTGTTGTAATAATAACAAAGATGAGGATAATAGCTCACATGTAAATAATAATTCCTCATCCCAGAAATTCATACAAGGTTATAAATAATGGCCAACAGAAACATTAAAATAGAGGAGAGGCTTAATGAGATTTAAAGTAATAAATTGATAAAATGTCATGAAAGGACTAAGAAAAAAATTACAAATTTCATAGAGAATTTACAGTTGTGTTGGCTAAATGTAGCTGTAAATTCTATGCTAACAGTTTCTTTTCTTGCACTTCTCAGTTGTGGAACTCTCTTCTGGTTCCATGTTTTTCAGCCAACTTTAATCAGCAAAAATTTAATTCCAATGTCAATCACTATTGTTATGTTATTATGCAACCAACTCCCTAACCCTCCATACACTTTATACCTATAGCAAACCATCTTTCTCTAACTGTGACATTCACCTACTCTCTTTCTATTAACTTAGCAGTCAGATGAACAATTGAGCAGAGAAATGACTGACCCTAGAAACAAAATTGGTGAGATCTAAAAATAGCATCTCACATGATCCAATATATGAAAGGTTGCCCGAGAAAAATATCTGAAGAATCAGTTGGACTGCAGAGCTTGAGTGATCGACACCCTTTCTTTTATCAACATCATCAATTAAAGGGAATTACATAATGAAGAGACTGAAGTCTAGTCCTAACTCACACACACAATGCTGCATGTGGACATATTTGATAGACCAAAAATCATTGACAGACTCTCCAGGATGTAAATATCATGCCACAAATTGTTTATATGCTGCAAACGAGACAGCGGCAAAGGCTGCAGACATGGCTTCCTTTATGCAGCCAAAGTTGTTTTTTCTTTCTTCACTCAGCTGCTGATATACTGCGTATGCACCACCTGTTAGACGCATTGGGACTACAACTGCGATCCTTTTCACTGTGCACAGCCTACATATGAATTCTGCCTTCTTTATCCATTCGACAACAGATTGTTCAGGATCAGAGCCGTCAAATTCCAATATTAGTTTTGGGTCAAATTAGTTGGTCATGGTGCCAAAATAGCTTGTAGTATAATATTTGTAGTAATCCACTTTACATTCCTCACTGCCATCCTCACTGCCCTTGAACCTCACAGCTGGCCTGTTGAAGCATATTCCTCTCTGTCTGCAATCCTTTTCAAAGAGATAGAACAACAGTGTAATGAACATGGCTTAACATAGAATTAAATCTTATTCTGGTGTTTGTCATTTGTTACTATTGGTTATTTCTCCTTATCGATTGTTTATTTGATCTTGCAAGAGAATCCATTACTAATGGAGTGGAAACCTTGACCATATCCTTTGGTATCAAGTCATTTCTTTTACCATTTTATTTTGATATTTCGTGTTGTGACAAATGGTTCGTAACACTATCAACTGTCCTCCTGATTATTCTTTCTTCTTCCTGCTCATAATTAATTAATTGCCCTTGTGTCTTAGTGGCTTTATGGCCTTGCATGGGGTGATACCAATTAAAAAAAAAAAAAAACTTCATATAAACAACTCAACAAAATGTCAATTT